TGTGTGTGTGTGTGTGTGTGTGTGTGTGTGTGTGTGTGTGTTCCTTCTCAGTCAGTGGTTTACTGAGCACATGATGGCAGTGTTGAGACAGACGAACACAAATGCATCTCTGACCTTTTCTTCGCAATAAACAGCCATGTGGCGCCTTAAAACCTAGTTGGACAATTTCAAATACTAATCAAATCTGTTTTGTGATTCTCACGGGCGTCCAATGTAGTCAGAGAGTGTGGATGTTGTGTCTGAAGTTTGAATTTACTTAATTTTTATACGATTTTATGGTTTGTGTGACCAAAAAGTGCAATCAGCCCCTCTATCACAAATGAATGCACACTTGGAGATGTTACTGGTCAGTCTGCAGGCAAGCAAGCAGAGCTGTCTCTATGGATATTGCTTTCGTCACAATGCTTCCCATCAAGCCTGTGCTAAGCTCTGGTCATGCAGCAGATGCAGACCCTTCACAGCACATAACCAAGATTTCTGGTGGAGGAGACACCATTAACGATGAAGCACAGCCCAAAAGAAACACAATTTTATTGAATACTTACCTAAATAATTAGCAGTGCTGTTTTCCTTTGCGAGTATATTTAAAGCACGTGAAATTTCTTTTTTCATGTCTCATAGCACACAATGCAGTTCCCTGTCTTCTCGAGCTACAGCATATCACTGTTGTGTTGCAAAAAATGATGGTGCTTTAATTGTGTTCTGCTGCTGACCTTTTCCTGAAATGTCCTAAACACCTGTGCCAATTTACCTTAGGCGTTTTGTTTTTGCATCCTATCAAAAAAAAAGAAAAAAGAAGAAGCTCCGATCATGTAAAAAATGTGCTGTGCTGAACTGACATCTAGGTAGCCCCTTTCAGATCTAATTTTTAGTAAGAATCTGTGATATGTTTTAGTGTTACTGCTGGGAAAGCAAGCAATAAAATATAAGATTAGAACAAAGATAAGAATAGAGAGAACACCAAAGCATTCAAATTTGAGAGATAATACAGAAATATATGTTCTAGCTTCATATTGGTCAAATCTTGGCAGCTACAACCAAATTGAGCTATAGATGTAAGAACTTTTTGAATTATTTAACAAGGCTGCACATACTAACTAGCGGTATATGCATTTGCTAGTGGCAGCTAGCAGCTAATTGACTTAATTGACTTGTTACTGTTGTAGCAAACAGATGCCAAGTTCCTAAATTCGGTAGCCATTATTGAGCTCACTAGTTTGAGAGAGGCTAGCTACATGTCAATGTGGGAAATTCCATCATGACATTAATAATTCTAGTTTTTTTTTTTTAAATTTCAACCTTAATACCAATAGTTCAGATTTTAAGTTTCAAATTTTTCTGTTATATTCACATACCACTGGAATATCATTAGCAGTAATGAAATAGTTAATATAGTTAAGTGGATACATGTCTATGTACATATACATATACATACAGAGAGGCAGTGGGTAAGGGTCCAGCAATTTCAGTACAAGTGCAAGGTATTTAGATTTTCAGCAGCTCAGTAGCCAGATGGCTTGCTGGTATAAACTGTCCATCATCATCAGTACAGGAGTATCAAGCAGATCTTGATGCTCCTGTATGAGTCAGTCACATCCATACCTTGCTAGGATTTTCTAGCTTCAAATGACCAAAGGGGAGATTTGAAAATGCTAAGCTTCAATGTCCATCTATTTTATTACTACATTGCACATAGATATATGTACACACTTACATACCTAATTCTCCCCATTTGCAAATGTTTTATGACTGATGAACATTTTCTTTTCCCACCAGCATCCTAAAACCACCACAATGCCTGGACTCATTAACAAGGAGAACCGGGGCGCTCTGCCACTCAGTGTGTCTGACATCAGTTCCTGTGTCAGGGGTTACACTTTGGCTCTGACAGCTTCTATGACCTATGAAAATATTGAGGATCATGCAATTGAAGGTGAGCGAGACTCATTTGTCACTTCAGTAATTTGATGGCTCACCACTTTCGGCCAATTTAGATTAACCGCATGCTCTTTTAGGCACTTGTAAAATTCATTATTATCGACTGAATAGGAAATGCTTGGTTGGTGTGTCTGGATAAAGCTCTTTCTTATTTTTGTTTTGTGTCTCTCTCTTACTGTCTTTTAGGGATCTTCATTTATCCACTGGAGGAAAATTCTATTGTTGTAGGCTTCGAGGCTATGATATCTAGTCAGATTATAACACTTCAGATCAAAGACAAGGCAAAAATCGACGACTGTTATCTGGATTGCTGCGGCACTTCTAATGGAGCTCTCCAGAGTGGCAGCGGTAAGACCAAGCAGCTCTAATCAATACTGTTATATTAGCAAAAGATCAAATGAGATGAGTGAAAGTTAAAGGTGTTCAAGTTGAGGAAACCACTGAGAAGCATTACTCCAGTCTGCAACTCCCTGCCAGCTTTGTGGAGTGGTTTAGGCTCGTTTATATCTTTGAATTGGTTTCACAGCTGCAGTTATAGGGTGTGTTTTGTTATCTTTCAGAAACCCCACATTTCCTCTTTGGTAATCCCTACCAGATGATGCCAGAGCAGCTAAAAGCCAGATATTTCCCTCGGGAGCTGGTGGAGACCAAAGCAGAGTAGTTATTGGATTCAAGTCATTAGACCTCCAAAAAACAAAATAAGATCAAAATATATCAGTCATGTCACCACAAGGGGTAGTACTTAACCTGTCAGGCCCTGTGAAATATGCATGGTACAATATTTTGCTTTTGCTCTGGGGGGAGCTTCCTGCAGTCAACAAATGGGCTTCAGGTGCATTAGCATGTATGAGGGGACGCAAAATTTACCATGTAACAGTGGATGTAGCATCCAGCTTTGTACTAAGCATGGGAAGTCAGTTTATGCTCCACCCGGCTGCTTCAAGCTTGATCATTCTTTGCTTAGATAACAGAAAAGATTTCTGGTCTCCTTTTTTTCTCCATTGATAATCAAGTGAAGCAAACTGCGTCATTACTTGAAAAAACAAAACAAAACAGAGATACTGAAAGTGACTGACATTCAATTTTGAAGTAACCCTAAAGATTTTTCAATGCCCAGCATTAGGATTGTGCTTAAAGTCCTGTGCTTAGGAAAGGTGTACATTGGAGTCAAGAGACGTAAGTGAGATTTTATACATCAATCAATCAGTAGGACTAATTGTTTTAGAAAGAAAAAAGGGATAATTCAAGAAAGTAATTTGTTGTAAGAAAACGGTTGAACAGTTTTGTTTAATATTTTATACATGAAGGATCATAGTTACTGCGGTTATAGTTTAAAAATCTGCTGTTTCCCCTTCTAACAGGACACATAGTGATGGATGAGGATTTTGAGAGGACCGTGTTAGTAGTTAACCTTGGGATCATCCCTCCCATGGAGACGGTCCACATTTTGGTCAGTACCTCCTCTGAGCTTTCCACTCTGCCAAGTGGGGGCATCAGAGTCTCATCTCCACCTGTGTGTACGCCCCGGGTGCAGAGGTCCATCAACGAGGAACAGGGACTGTCCCCAAACTTCTCCAGAACGTAAGAAAGTTGAAGAACAGCAGAAATCACTGTCTGGTTGGCTTAAGATGGTATATTTCTAAATGGCATCTGGCACTTTAGGCTCTTTAAACTCCAGTTCTCATACTTCTATGTGGTTTTAACATATCTATAATTTTCCCACTTTTAGGCGGGACAGACAGACCTCTGCTTCAAGTCCTCATGACCAAACTCCCAACACACCTCAGCTTTGGTTGGCTTTATTGCTGGAGGAGGAGGCCATCAACTCCATGGACTATGAGTTTAATTTCCAGCTTGAGATACGAGCTCCCTACCTCCTCGCAGGTCTTTCAAATTTCTCTCATGAGAATTTCTTGAAAGTGCATCTGTCTGCAGTAAGAAGCAGCACATTAAGACGATTACTGCAGTGAAGTGTGAAAAACACGTGTTTGCAGAGATTTGATCCTGCTATATATTTTCACCGACTCTTCTAAAAGAGGGGGACTTGGCCTAGCATAGACTATACAGAATGCTACACAGCTAGCATGGATTTTTTTCTAGTACCAGCAATTCTGAAGCTCTCGAATGAGCCTACAAATATTAAAATATCAAGTGGGCACTAATGCTTGACTAAGCTTGTGTCTCACCATAAAGTTCTGAGATATCTACTTATGACTAACTAGATATCGCTGGTTTTGCTGGTTTCATTGTGTTTTTTTGTTTTCTTTTTTTATTATCCTGGGCTAAACTTAAGTCTCATGAATGAAGCTTCATATTTAATCTACAGATTTGAAATTAGTACATTCTCTTATTATGTACAGTAAGTATTAAAAGAGAACAAATTGACCATTATTATAGGCAGGCAACCAAATTAAGCTCTGGACAGTTCTGGCGGATCTGCTAATCTCAGCCAACATTAGCTGATGGCTCAGCAGGTACCGCTGTGCACATCCATTTGGCAAGTTACATAGCCCTCTATTTAAGCTGCTGTAGTCTGCCTACAGTTGCAGCACATCTGCAGGCCTGCTTTCATGCTCTACCTGACTTAATATGTTTTGCTACTGAAGATGTTCTGTTCTTTAGTGGCTTCAGTTTAGAGGACTAACAACTTGTTATTTGATCTGCTGTGGATGACGCTCTGCGCAGGTGTGGAGAGCCCTTCTCACGCCATCCGAGCTGATGCAGATCCTCTGGCCCGCTCTGCTACCAGCATTGTAATCACTCTGGCAGACAAGTACACTTATGACTACCCGGTCGTAATCCTCATCTACCCAAGCGGTAAGTCTTCAACTTAAAAACAGCCCCACAATTTTGTTCTTCCACCCTCAAGTAAAACAAAACCAAAAAATAGTTACTTCAGCTCTGTGAGACTTTTACTGCAGCCCATAATAAGATCAGTGAAAAGGTGATTCACTGCCTCACGTTGTGTTGGTGAGTGCCTCTTCAGGAAAAAGGTCTTCTGTTATTAATGTATGACATGCCAGTAGAGCCAGACTCTGCCGTGTGGGTGGGTATTGTCAGTTTTCTGGTTCTTGTATTTCCCTCACCGTTGTCTTAACCTGCAGTGTGTGTGTGGGCCGTTTGTCTCCCAGAGGGAGGAACGAGCCCCGCTCAAACTGATCCAATAGGCCTCTTATGAAGGCTTTGTTCACAAACAGACCTGCGGCCAGAGTCGGGCAATTTAATTCATCTCATACGAGTGCTGCAGTTTCAATCACAACATGGACGCTCAGCCAGACCAGAGAAATGGAGGAAATTGAGGTGCAATAGGAAAAGAGGAACAGTTGGGTTTCATCATCAGCTTGGTTGATTAATTGCCTAATTGTGTCAACTTATTGCTGAGTTTCTGAAAGGTTCAACCTTTAAATTTAAGGATTTTAATACTTCATGTATTGGAAATTAATATCTGATTTATGACCAGAGAAAAATGCATATTAACAAAAATCATAAGGAATGAAAAAGTATTTCCAAATGTTATTTTCTATCAATAAACTGAGCTTATCAGCAGCATAAAATGGATGGATGAAAGGATGGGTCTCTCAACCAAGAAAATATCTAATTAATTGAACTTCCTCATGAATTTTAATGTCAGAAGTTTTCTTTATTAACACAAAAGCGCTTTTCTCTCATTGTCTGCAGAAAGCTAGAAAAACATTTTGGGCATTTTAGATATGCTTTAGATAAGCTTTTTCAAGACCTGCAAAGTCTATGCAGAGAAGAAAAATAACAGTTGAAATCCCCAAGATTTGCACAGATGCCTGAGCATCTTTTCTTCTTTTTTTTTTTATCTGTCACCTCTCAATCCTAACAGTAACACAATGTGTCTGGTTCAGAGGGAGAGGAACCAAACACATATAGGTGCAAGTTTAAAGAACACAATATAAATAAATATTACCAACCAACCCATCTGAGAATTGGTTAGAATTTCAGCACTTTAAAGGAATAATTTAACCGTGGAAAGACCTCCTACGTATATGAACATATATTAGGAGATTTACAGGTTTTGAAAGAATATACAATGTCTGACCCAGCTATGTGATCATTTCCAGAGGAAGTGTTTATTTAAAGAGTTACAGTTCATCGCTGAAACTGCTCTAGTGGAGGATACTGAAGATCTTTGTGCTCGACCTTGTGCTTGATCTTTGTGGAGCGCATTACCATTGATCACATTTTGCTGCAGAGACAATGAGTCTGCAGGGTTTTGTGCATGCTTCTCAGTATCATATTGTGGTCTTCCATTTTTCCCTCCTACCTAGCAGCTTCATATTCAGCATCCTTTGTTTCATATACTGTATTCACTATCCCTCCTCTGCACATGTCCAAACCATCCTCGACTACCAGGCTTTGTCTCCAAACCGTTCATCCTCAGTTGTCCCTCTGATACACTAATTTGTAATCCTGTCCATGCTGGTGACTCCCAAAGAAAATCTCATCATCTGCAACCCTGCCACCTTCAGCTTAGCCTCGTGTCTTTCTGTTAGTACAACCATCTCCAAACCAACCATCATAGCAGGACTCACTACCATCTTGCAAATCCTTTCATTCTTCCCTTTCTATCCTTCTGTCACAAATCACCTCTGACTCTCGTCTCCACCTGCTCCACCCTGCCTGCAGTCTCATCTTTATCTCTTTCTTCATTGTGCACTGTCTATTGCTTTGGTTGTTCCCCTCCAGGGATTTAAACTCATCTGCCTTCACTGTCTCCACTCCCTGCAGCTTCTCTGTTACAACTATACCTATAAAAACAAGATGATGCAAATGAATTTGTTAAACTACAGACATGTCTTAAGGATATAAAAGCCTGTATGACCTGTAATTTTCTACTCATAATTTCCCTCTTTTCATTAATAAGCCACTACTCCATGTCATGAACTTTTATTCTTTCTATAGTTTGTATTTGGACCCTGGTCTCTCTGTTAGTTGTTCATAGGAAATCATGTGATTGTTGTGTTGCTTTCTTCAATATTTTGAGACGACTGCTGTTTTGAATTGGTGGTATATAAATAAAACTTAAAGTAGCACTTATCATGTGTAGATTTGCATATAATGATTTTGATACAGGGACAATAAAGATACCTGCAGTAGTACATCTTATTGCTTATTGTGAATGATATCCTGGAGCATTACTCTGTAAGTGGTATTTTATGCTTATAACTCTAGATGGTGGTGGTTTACATTTTAAATGATGTGTTGGGCAATGTTGTTGCCATAAAATATGAAAGGATAGGGTGATAGAAAGTATGAGACACAAAAGGGAAGAATGAGGAAAAAAGTAATAAGGCCAAGACAGTGAAAATCTGTATTTTTAGATTTCCGCACTTTCCTTCCATTCAGCTTCAGACATTGTCCATCTGCTTCATAATCTTGTCTGAGGCATTTATAGTAATGTCTTTGCCATGACCAACTGTGCCACTTTAGAGCCTCATGTGCCGCATGTGCTCATTGAGAACGGGGACATGACACAGGAGGAGTATGATGAGTATCTTCACAGCCGGAGCGATTTCATCAAGGCCACCAAGAAGGACTCCAGCAATGAGAGGAAAGTGAGTGTCCATGACATGAGCACCACACCTGAACTGATAAGCACAATATCACACTGCTTTCATTTTGAGCATGATATCACAAATATTTCCCTGTGAAAAATATTATTTATTTGGCTATTTGTTGCAATTTAGTGTTGTATAATACAATGATATTACGCACTGCGGTTTCAAAATAGGGTTGAATTGGCTCCTGTATGGCATAAATACTGAAACTTCCTTTTGTATTATGAAACTTTATTAAAGTTGGCAGGTAAACTATGACAGAGATTTTTTTATTTAAACTGATCTAACGACAGTAAGTGCCTTAAAACCCAGACAGGTAAAGGAAAACCTCTTCTGTGTTCTTTTAGTTATATTATACAGTTTGTTTAAAGAAATTTGTGTGATAATCAGCATTGCTGAAAATCACACTATAATTAAATGTATATGTTAAAACATTAAATTTAGTATCTTAAACCAAGCTTAATGCTGAAAAGCTACTACTCCAAAGCTAAGATGGTATTAAATACTACTCAGTTACACTAGTTAGCCATAACTTTAACCTTTTTGTGAGACCAATCTGCAGGAACAGACTGTGTGTAGTGTGAATAGTGGACCCAAATACAGACGAACGAGTCTTTATTACGGCTGATTACATGAATGCAAAAGCAAAGCAACCCAAACTGTGGCAAGAAATAAGCTAAAACATAAACTGGAAAAGCTAGGAATTACTATAACAACTATGAACATGATTTTGAGCAGGAGGACGAGAGAAACTATGAGACCAAGAAACATAAACATGCCCTGAACAAAACCCTGGAAACCTGACGAGATGTGGTGGGAGGTAACACAGACAACCTGACAAATACTGAAAGAAATCAGACTAAATAGACACAGGAGGGGGTCAGAGTGGAAACACATGGGGAAACAGCTGGCACAAATAATCATAATGACACACCAGGGGAAGTAAAACAAAACACACTGAACATGGAGACACCTGACTCTTCAAAATAAAACAGGAAAACACTGAGAGACGTAGACATGACACCACAGGCTTGACAACACAGACAAGAAATACACGAGACTAACAAAGAAGACCTAGGTGAAACATAACTAGTATAAACTCAAAGCAAACGAATAATAATCCAATAACTCTACATTATCTCAAGATATAGCATAAGAACATAAACTAAAACATAAACACTGACATTTTGTCACTCATGATTACTTCCCTGCCCTTAAAACTTGTACACAGTTAGCCGTTCCAACAAGACAACAATCCCAAATGCATAAAAAATTGATAAAGAAGGCTGACATTAAACTTTTAGAATAGCCTTCACAAAGACCAAAGAATATGGTTCTATTAAAAAAATATGGACTATACTTAAATGCCAGGTGTTTGCTAGGAAACCAACCAATTTCAATGAAATCTACCAATTCTGCCAGAAGCTTGTTGATGTCTACCAGAAGCATCTGGTCTAGGTGGAATCTGCTAAGGGACATTTAACCATATTAGTGGCAGTATTTGTATATATTTGAACCTGTGTGTACACTTTTGACCCTGTGTGGATTATGGAAAATCCCAAATAAATTCAAATAAGTCCATCAAACTCTTGTTTTTTAGAGTCATTAAAGATGAATATTGTACAATTATTCCTTTGCTGGAAAAAGAACAGTTCAACTCCAGCTATGTTGAGCTTTTGCCATCCAGTCAGTTAGGAAGCATCTAACTGATGCTTCATTCTAATATGTAATTAAAGCACTGCTAACTAAATGTTTAAACTAAAACAGATAATATTTTTATGTTAAATAGCAAAAATCTGGGTCCATAGTAAGTAGATAAAAAGGCTCGTCTTTTGAGTGGCTACAAATAACTGTTAATTGGTAGTACTAAGTGTACCTACACAGTAAACATCTGGTCAAAAGAAACATGCGATTCTTCTTTTGTGAGCTTTGCTTGGAGATAAAGCACAACATAATTTAGGTAAAAGACAAAGTGTTATTTGATAATGAACAAAGAGAGACTTCTCTGGGCTTCAGCTCGTTAGCTCCACTTTCACTGCTGCGCCCCTGGTCATGCATGTGTCCATTCGCGTCTCAGCTATGATGAGGTTGTTAAGTGACCAGCAGCAAACAGGAGGAGGAGGAGAGAGCACTTAGCCATAAAAATGTGTTTCTATGGAAACACTCCAAAGGCTCTGCACAGTCTGCTTTGACTTTTCCAGCACATATACATAGAATAATTGATGTGATTCTTCTACTGACCTGATAACTTGTCACCTTTCTTGCTTCTTCAAACCTTTAATTAAAGCCTGAGCAAAATTGTCAGTCAAACCGAACCCCATTTAATTCATGCTTCTGTTTTGCTGCCTTTATAGGTAGATATAATTCACAAGAGACTCCATAAGGATATCCTCCACAACCCTGTGGTTATGCTGAACTTCTGCCCTGACCTCAAGTCCATTTGCTCTGACTTGAGGAAGGTTCACGGCGAATTCATCTTCCTCATCGACCGCAGCGGCAGCATGAGCGGGGTTAACATCAACCGTGTGAAGGTATTTTAATCTCAACGCGCCATGCGTTGCTATAAAGGTGATCTGCGAGCAAACATTAAGATGCATGCTGATTTACATATAAATTACACACCGTATCACATGCCATCAAGAGTTTTTTCATTAAAAAGTATTACAGTTGATGTCAAACACATCAATATACATTTTCCAAAGAGATTAAATGCAAAGTTAATCAATCACATGTCGTTAAGCGCTTTCAAATAGCTTTTTAAGCTCAAGGTCTTAGTGTTTCTGCTATCTGTGAAGATTGTATGTGCTTAATCAGCTGTAGGAAGGCATGCATTCAAGGATATTGATCGTACAAATCATTCACTATCCGCCCATCTTCCAGTTGCTAGGATTTGAAGTCTAATCGGTCTTCAATAGGCTACCTATAAAGCTAACTCAGGGTCATTCAAGGTGGATATATTTTTTACCATGTTTATTTGGCTGCTTGTGCACTGAATGTGTCCTGCGATGTGATGCTGGCAGGTGTGCATTTGTGACTCATACCCTGGGTTTTATTGAAGGTGTTACTACACAGTCTGGGCTTAAGACTAAGGTGAGCCTGACTGCGATATAATGAATATTTACCAAGAAGTACTGCAGAATAGCTTTTAATACATCTATAAAATTGGAACATTATATTTCTGTTTCTGAACCTGAAGGAATGTTTTATTGGAGATTGTGCAGTCGATGAGGTATTTGTGATATCCACCTGAACAGAGGTTGAGATAAGTGGTATTCTTCTAGAAACGGCTCCTCTCCTGTAGAAAAGGCGGTGATGGACGAAATGATTCTGTATGATGGCTCTCACTCCTCTCAGGCAAAATCTGCCGTGGAGCACTGACAGCTGTGTAGAGCACATGCTTCCATTTAACCACGCATTAAGCAGAGGAGTGTTTTATTTTTTGCTTTTAGAATTTCAGATTTCACATCAGTCTTAGTTCAGGTCAGGAACTAATGCTGCTCTTGGTCTTTTTTTGTAGGATGCCATGGTGGTTAATCTGAAGAGCCTAGTGCCTGGCTGCGTTTTCAATGTCGTAGGATTTGGATCTACATTTAAATCACTATTCACGACAAGCCAAAGCTACGAGGAGGTAATGCTGCTCTTTATAACGATAATGAGATAATCATAGCTAGTTTATCGGTCATGGGTTGTAGAACCCAGACAAAGCCTTCAGGGGCAGGAAGTAGGGTAACACTGTGCAGCTCAGAGTGGACATAAGTATGTGTGCGCTTAAACGCCACATAGCCAAATATACAGATTCTACCTTGAAGATGAATGTAACCTCTGGATCTAACTTGTTACCCAGCGTAACAAGTCAATTCAAAGCCATAAGCTATGAAGATTTTTGTGGAATATGGTAAAAAGATGTACAAGTTAATGGACAGAATCCAATTGAAAACTCCTTACAAGACTAAACAGCAACTGAAATTAGTATCAATAACAGTTTTAAAGGTTCTAACTTTCTTTAACTCTCTTTGTACTTACTTGGTGAAAAAGCTGGTAATGTTGCATTCAGTTAAAACAATCAAAATGCCTCTCGGGATCAGGTATATGTCCTTCTCACTCACTATTATTGGGATTTAGTTGGCCAAGCTTTAAAAACCAAAACTGTTACTTCAGCCAGGCCGAAAACATGTTTGTTTCTGCATTAAAGTTAAGCATTTTAACACATAAGTCTATGGGACTCACTTTTGGATCTAGCTTCAAGCGGCCATTTGAGGAACTGCAGCTTTTAGGACACTTTTCTGCATTGCCCTTGTTTTTTAGCCCAGTGGATACATCTTGTGTTTTTTTCCCTTCCTCCAAAGGAGCTCAGTGCTGTAGCCACCCACCAGAAGGCTATCAACATATTTTGGCTTCACTTCTAGGAGCTGTCATGTCTTGACAGCTCAACAAAACATCAGACATCCCCATACACAATCCACACAAACAGTGTTTTATTTTAACAATGAATCTCATTGTTCTTAACATTAAGCAGGAGGATATTTTTACATCAAACTCCAAATTAGTTTCTCCGTGGCAAAGTCTAACAATCCCTGAATCACAGCCCTGATTAAGCCTAAGGATTTAAACTGTAGTTTACCTTTTATTTTGAAGGCTTTTATGATTCACTTTGAGCAATCTTTATGAAACAGCCAGCTCATTTTAGCTTCAGTGCTGATTAATAACTGCTCAAATCTCAGAAATAATACAACCCTGTCTTCTTATTTTAACACAAACAGTTTTTTCTGACTTGAATAAATATAGATCTTTGCATCTTGTGTGTTGTGTGAGTACAGCAGCATTATGTCTTGAATTAACATCTTATTTTCATGATCCAGGATGCCCTGGCCATTGCTTGCGAGTATGTTAGAAAGATAAGAGCTGACATGGGGGGGACGAACATCCTGGCACCGCTCACATGGATCCTGAGGCAACCTTTGATCAGTGGACACCCCCGCCTGCTCTTCCTGCTCACAGACGGTGCTGTCAGTAACACGGGCAAAATTATCGATCTGGTCCGCAGTCATGCACGCTACATCAGGCAAGTATTAATGTTAACACACGCTGAATGTTAGACAGAATAACGAATAGCATTATTAGGGATATCTTCACTGTAAAACCTGTTCTGGCTTCCAGACATATACAAGCAACCCATTTGATGCTAAAGACACTATGCTGTTGTAATAAATCCTTGCTTCTTATGCAGATAGCAAATGTGGAGCTTGCCTATACTATAAAATCATATCTCAGGGTTAAATGTAGGACCTGATTCTGCAGCTGTAATCCTTTCAATATGAAATCTGGCAACATGCAGCTTGTGTTATTTCATTTCAGCTTCGAATTCTGATTGAAAACCAACAACAAGTCAGTGTGAATGAGGAATTAAAAAAGAAAGAAAGGAAGCATGTGAACACCGGGTTGAGCTGCCGAGTGAGAGGGAGCACCAGTGGAACAATAGACCTGCAGTATGCTGGGAAATCATTTTATTTCGCCACCTGCATCTAAGTCTCACACTGAAAAAATCCTGTCCTGAGTCACTCTGGACATAATTGACTTTTGTCTACTCCCTTTTAATGGATGCCTCCCCCCAGACGATTGCATTAGGCACACGGAGCTTGGCCAAACCATCAGCACTTCCTGGGCTGTAATCGCTCTATGCTTGCAAATAAGAGGCGCCATTCAGAAACAGGCACAAACAACGATCAATCTACATTTTTGTGAATCCACGATGGATTTTTAACTGTGTCGAGGGAGAAATTTCTTTTTTCAGTCTGCACTCTCTGATTTAATTAAAAATGCAAGCTGGTGCAATGAAATTAGGCAGCTCATCCCTCTGTGGTAAATGAAATATGAATTGTAAAATCGTTTGCTATCAGCCAATCTGCCTGGAGAACTATTTCGACTTCAGTTTCACCAGAAGACATTGTAGGCTTTTACATAAAGCTACTGAAGAATTATATTATTTCTAGTTCATAAATGTCTTTGCAGCATCTCGTTAGTTGTCTTTGTGTTGTGCTCGCATTTTGGGAAGACGCTTGTTGTCATGCTCGTGTGTTTCGTGAGCTATCCATGGAGCTGCAGTGTTTAATGTCTTTGTGCAGATGTTTTACGTTCGGCATAGGACAGAATGCTTGCAGGAGGCTGGTGCAGGGGCTGGCGACAGTTTCCAAAGGAACAGCGGAGTTTCTCGCTGACGGAGAAAGGCTTCAGCCCAAGGTACTAATTTCCAGCTTTGTGTTGCTCTCCTAACAACAGCCAACTATTCCGAGGGCCGCTGGAGAGCCATTATGCAGAGGTTTCAAAGCACCAAGTGTCCGCCACTGATACCAATTAGGAAATCATATCTCAGAGACACAATTCACTTTATGTTTTGGTCAGAGAGAAGCTGGCTTTTATAGTGGAAAGTCTTTTTTAGTTGGCTTGTTTTCACTCCACAGATGATAAAGTCCCTGAAGAAAACCATGTCTCCTGTACTCAGCGACATTTCCATCGAATGGCTCTTTCCTGAAACCAAAGAAGTGCTGCTCTCCCCTGTGGGCAACACTTTTCTGTTTCCAGGGGACAGTCTGATTGGCTACAGCGTGGTTTGTGATGCCACCCGCTATCACGACAACCCCAAATCTGTAAGACACCTCTTAAAAAGTGACAAATGACAGCATGCGTGTTGATATTCTGTTTTGTAAACACTTCAGAAAAGGAACATCAGATCACACCATGTTTTTCTTGTGTTTATGTTCAGTGTGATAAATCATTTAATCATTGAAGTAAATCCTGATGGAGATATATAAAAATATAAAAGCAGCTCTAAGGAAGCTTTTAATCAAACCTTGTGAAAAAGTCTCTTTTTGCATGTGTCACCTACTCAAAATCGAAACAGGATAAGAGGAGGCGATACAGCATGATGCGCTCTGTTGAGTCAGCCAGCTCAGTGTTTTACCACTCTCAAGAAGAGGACCCAGTGAAGACAGCTGGTGACAATCTGGGTTCACACAGGGAGGGCCATTCTGGAACTCTGTATGATTCCTACCAGGACTCCATGATAGACAGCAGCCCTGTCGGCACAGACCATGACCCCATGGGTAAGAACTTACGGCAGAAATGAGTGGTTGACTCCTGAATGAGGGGATTTCTGTTTTTCTAAACTATAGGTTTGCAGAATGTCAATTTGTGTGCTCCTATTCTTGCAAATTGCTGTAATTTAGGTGTGACTATGATTTCCATCCCAACTGCTGAAGTGGTGCGTTAGTCAGACTAAAATGTGTGTTATATGATTGACAGGAAATTTTGCGCAGGTATTCACGGAACCCACAGGATGAGTCATATTGAATTTTATGATCCTTTGACATTTTTCATCCAGCGCTGCTATGAGGTTTATATTTGTGGTTTTGATTGAAATGCCTTGACAGCTGTTGGATGGATTGCCCCCAAATTTAGTGCAGACATTAATGTCATCCTGAAGGTTTTTAATAGCTGTAGGTGTCCTTTAACTTTCTATAAGGTTAAAAACAATTTGTCTAGTACTTTGCTTTATCACCGAAAACAAGCAAAACTATTCCCAAACCCACCAGTCTAATTATACCTCGAAGTGTAGGAGGTGAGTGTGCTGATACGCTAATCTAATGGTTCTCAAATGTTTTCTGGCATGTCCCACTTTGGAAGCTGAAAAAAAGTTCATCCCACACGCCACAATTTTTATTGATTGCAATGAACAAAGGATCCATGTTTTATTACATTTTACTTAAATAAAAGTGCAAATCAGCACAGACTCACCTTAGTTTCACTTTATAGATTTTACCTGGCTGTTTATGATGGCTGCCCCACAGTTTGAGAACAACCGCATGAATCCAAGCATGTTAATATTGCCATTTTTGGCAAGTTGCTATGTGCCTGGGAAGGTTCGCAGTCATCCAGGTCGTCGTAGTCTAAGGAGCTTGGAAAGAAAAGTATCTGGACTTCTTTAAGTTTTCTTGAAGATGTTTCACTTCTCATCTGAGAAGCTTCTTCAGTTCTAAGCGCAATTGGTGGAGAATCCTCGATTTTAAGCCTTATGGGAGTGTCCACAAGAGGGTCATGGACCCCCTATTGATCTTCTACCTAACCATGAGCCAAGGTGTGAAAACGAGTGTAGTTCACAATCAGCCAAGGTTTCAGGTGAACCCATTGTGATGAGGTCAAAAGGCCCAGGATGTTAGTGGGTGTTGAGGTTTCTTGGAAGGGATCTCAAAACTGGATTATAGATGGCAAACAGTTGGTGCCTCAGTTCAAAGATGGTCATTCACAGTGGACATAGATGGCTTCTTTCACTCCTCTTTCAAACCGTCTGTCTTCTCTGTCCAAAATGTGAACATTCGCATCCTCAAAAGAGTGACCGTTATCCTTTAGATGCGGATGGACCGCCGAGTCTTGTCCCTTGGAGGCGGCTCTTCTATGTTGTGCCGTGCATTTATGAAGTGGCTGTTTGGTCTCTCCAATGTAGAGGTCTGAGCTTTCCTCGCTGCACTGTACAGCATACACTACGTTGTTAAATTTGTGAACTAATCAGATAGTTTTAAAAGAGCTCAAAGTAGGGCGGTTGTTCCCAGACTATGGGGCATAAAACCTGCAGTAGGAGTTCTGCAGTAAGGCTAATCAAGAATGATGCATTGCCCTGCACTGCCAGAAAGGCAGGGAGTAGTTTGTAAAAGGAATGCCAGGTTAATATCAAGCAGATGATGAATCATTTTACAAATACCAAAACAAACACTATAACATATGGAGAGCCTTATCTTACCATTGGGTGGGTAATGAAGAGAGAACACAGTGTGCTCAGAGTCTCAATATATTAGCTTCTGACAGCACAAAGCTGAGAAAGGTAGGACGCCAGCTGAAGCCTTTGTTTGTCTATTTTTTTTTCTAATGTTGTATTTCATTTTTACTTTACAGCAAGTGCTTTGTCTATAAATCAGGGAGTTTGCAACCAGGGATGTAAGTGTGTTTAGGTCCATTGGAAACAAATGTGGTGAACTTGGCATTTTGATTTAGTAATTACTAGAGATGGCACGATACCACTTTTTTATGTCCAATACCGATACCGATATCATAAATTTGGATATCTGCCGATACCGATATGAATCCGATATAGTGTTTTTTAATCAACAAAACTGTTTTTTTAAAATATCTTGCTGCATTTTGCAAATCTGCAAGTTCATACTCAAGTTTAAAACAACAACTACACTAAAGCTATTCTGTTATACCTGTATGCAAAAAAAAAAATTTCATAGTTCAGCAATACTGATCAATCTAATAAACTTAAACCTACACCATCTCCCTATTCTGGTATTTTAAAGAGTACTTAGCGTAAATATTAAGCAACCTAACTAATAGGGTTCCAACTCCCAGCAACAACAAAAATAAATAAATAAAAAATAGGGAACCACCCCTCACGCGCCACCTCATGATGCTTAATCGACGTAATCAACCTTAATTTGATGCAGTGTGAAAAAAAATGCACAGAAATCAATTATTTTTCAAGAAATTTTAAATAGATTCAACATCTTTCTTCAACAAAATTGCAGACTGCACAGATGGTACCTTCCCAAAGTAAAAAGTACTATAGCTTACTAGGGTATATATATTAGACTTAATAGTCACTATATACAGTAATTGACTTCTATTCATTTTGCATCAAATTAAAACTTTGGGTGTCAGATAATTATTTATTAAAAGCTCGACATTTTAAATGAGAATAAGAAAGAAAAGTATGTCTTAGGGCATGAACAGTGAAAAGGGGGCACAATCGGCCCCCCTGGCTAAACTTTGCTAGATCCGCCCCTGCACAGTTACCAGCCGTCAGCTACGTAGAAAAAGATCCTGGTGTAGAAAGTAATATTAAATAAATTCTAACAACAGCTTATCAAGCTTAAACGTGCTGCTGTTGTTCAGCCGCTGGTTTCTCTTTCTGGTGCGAAGTGGGCCAAAAACAAAGACGGACTCGCGACAGAAAAGCGATCAGCTGATCATTTAAGCAGTTTCAGATTGAAGTAGCAGCCGGAGAGCGAGAGGCAGTCGCTCGTTAAGCTTACGCGTGAATGCTTTACAAACATTCAGAGATGGACTTACACACTTGCTTTACTTCTCTCGGGGATAACTTTGTCGGAGATGAAATGCGCGGAGATGAATGCAGGTGCAGCGAAGCTCCACATGCTATCCAGACCACCGACAGGTCCCGCATGCCACAGCCGCTCTATCACGTGATGCATACTGCTCCGACGTGCTAACGTTCTGAGGTGAGTTACGGCGTGTTGCAAGTTTTGTGAGGTGCTTTCGTGATATTTAATGGATCGGATTACATTTTTTATTTTTCTCCGATATCCGATCCAGTAATTTAGGTCAGTATCGGACCGATACCGATACGTAATATCGGATCGGTCCATCTCTAGTAATTACCATTTCAGTGTGGTGGAACCTACAATTATGTGTTTCACGGTGTTGTGAATTCGTTATCTTTGTAATTTTGCGGGCTTTTTTCATTTTTGAACAAAACATCAGGTTTAGATAAGACATCACCGAGAAGGCGTGCCTATAGTACCAACCAGATATCAGACTACAACCCAGCAAAGAAGGTCTACACTCCCAGTGACTCCAGCTCTGTGGCGGTGAAGAATCCACTGAGGAGAGCCAAAGTCCAGGAGCTGATAGGCCAGATGAGCCCTGAATATGATGCACAGTGGAGGAATGACTACCAGGTGAGCTTTAACAGTAACAGCTTCCTTTTTAGTTTGCGTTTTAACTGATTTAACGGCTGAAACATGAGCACAAAAACAAACCACTATCAGCTGTACAGGCAGGAGACTTTGATGATGATGGAGTTGTCATGATGTCATTGTATAGAAATTGATATTTATATTCAGACCCTGCTGACAATTAAACCGAGTCTTGTCTGGACTGAAGTATAATCAAGGACGCACTAATGCACTCTCTTCAGTAATGAAGGGCAAAATTTATGAATTGCAATTAAGTCCGACTATTACTCGGGGAACGTGTCAGTATAACTAAGCAGAATTCACTGGACTGTAAAGAAATTATCTTCTCTTGTGAATCCAGTTGAGGATTCAATATATTCTTGCTTGATTAACTGAGTAAATATAGCACATTTCAATTTTCTGCACAAATTAAAAGACTAATATAAAAGATTTGGAACCCTCGGGCTTTTTACACTAATCAAAAACTCAATGCTGTGATGGCCATTCTTCCTTTGTTACGCTGACATTTTCTAAACTAGAAAATTGTCAGTTGCCCTGTTGCAATACAACGCATGGTTTGCAGAGTCCTTATGTAATTATTCACTTGAAAGCCCCCTGAAACCTGAGCCTGAGTGAGCACACAGAAATGACCAGAATTACAATTAGTAGGCGAGGTTGCAAACCTTATTAGACCTGTGATAGGACCAGGGTCTTTCGAATTAAAACTCCTTCTATTGTTTTCAGCCGCAGCTGGCAAGTCTGGGTACCACATCTACCAGGGGGCGTTCTGCCAGCTGTCACAAGCCGCTCCTTCAACAGGAGCTCTTTCTGCAGCAGGAAGCCGACTCTGAGCATCATTTTCATCCCCAGCCACAGGACGATCCTCCGCCCAGCGGCGGCAACGTGACGCCTGTGTCTCGCAATGCTGCCAGGGAAGATGGATCCAGATCTTCCACAGACAGCCCATCTCTTGGGAGCATTGGAGACACAGGTGAGAGGGAAAGTAGAATTGTTTTGCATTAGTAGAAATCTCTAAAAGAAAGTAAACATTTTGAAGCTGGCCTGATTTTTATAGTGTAGCAGCTAATGGGTTGAATGCGGAGTGCATCGTTTTAGAAGGGCTTAATTACAAATGCACTGTAGCAGTAAATTAACAGAGTTAGAGAGCTAGAGGAGAACATAACCTCCATCTGTACAAATATATGACTTACAGTGAGAAATTGGCTTGGGCAGAACGGTGGTTAGCACTGTTGCTCCACTGCAAGAAGGTCCTGGGTTTGAATCTAGAGCTGGAGTTAGATAAATATTGGCTAAACTGGCTGTAGATGTGAATGTGAGTATGTATGTATTGTCTTTTTCTGTGTTGACCATGTTAAAAAAACATATTTATTTTTTTAAACATGTTTAAAAGGGGATGTTCATATTCAGAGGGAACCCGTGCCACCTTAAAATGATGGACCTGTCCATAGTTTACTTGGACTGTGGTACACATGTAGGGCCAGCACAGAGCTCCAGTGCTGCATCAGCAACAGTTTAAGCCATAAAAACACAAAACAAACAAAGGACAAATCTATAAAATGTCTTTATTAAGTAATTAACAAATATGTAAGAGGTCAGTGTGTCACCGCTTCCCCAATAAAGCCACCAAATGCTGAAATGCATGAGACCTATGTTCTGTAAGAGCCTGGGTTGGCACCAGAGCTGGATGGGCGATCGACTTTGATAGAGGCACATTTGATTCAGCTCACTTTGCTGTTTCATTAAAAAAGAGAAACGTGAACACAATTTAAAAAGATGCATGTCTTAAAAAGCATAGTATAAAAACAAGAGACGTTTTATGATGAGACAGAAGTAGATTAATGAACTCATCACATACGAGGTCACTGACTGTGAGCACTAAATATACTCAGAATATTAAGATTTGTTTTGCAATTTTCAGGTCAAATCATGCTGTAAAGCCAGCTGCACAAGCTGATGAATAACCTCTTTTTAGTTCCAAAGAGACACATGAGGGCTACTTCCCAAACTCTTGACTTACATAGGCCCATCCACTCCAAAAAACTCCAGTGTTCTTGTTAGTTAGTGACCACAATTGGAGCACATGTACTAAGCTGCTATTACCCAAACAATTGACTTGAGCTTGAGCTGCAATACCTAATTAGACATGAGAGTGTTTTAACTTTTTCATTATCAAAACTGTACTTGTAGTTGCAAAAGTATGTCAGTAGAATTCAACCGAATTCAAAAAGTGACCTTTTTTGGATAGGCTTGGATCCCAAAAGTCCATAATGTTGATGTTGGCAAGAGTGCATTTAAAAAGCTTGTGTGTGCACATGAAAGAGAGAGGGATAAACATATATGAAATGTGCTACAAAAGCTGAGATGCTGAGATGTGACATGTTTGCAGCTTGGATTGTTAAGGGCAGTGTCAACACAGGCCAGCAGGGAGTCAGGAGAATAGCATGCTCAAGCATGGCATGAGGTAAACATGATCGTAAATCGAAGCTCTGACACTCAAATCACGGGAAGAGCAGGAAATGTTTTTCAATGTCTGGGGACAAAGCACAAAATTATCTAGGAGATGAATGATAAACAGAAGAGGTAGAGTTTTAGAAAACAGTTATTAAAGTGGAAAATCAAGCAGACAGAAGAGCTTTGGAAACAGGAAATAAATTAATTCAGCACAAATTCAGTTCCATACGAGCAGCAGCAGGTAATAAGCTTAAGAGAAATAAGAGGTCCTCGCACGGCGGGATTGATAAATCCACATCAAATCTTGCTCCTGTGATGTTTCAGATGGTTATGGACACCAGTTGTGCCGAGCAGAAACCCCACAGGATACCCACGCTGCACATCTGGATGCTGCCAACCAGCACAAAGGTGACTGCAAGGCTGTGGTGTCTGGACTGCTGTGCGGAAAACCAATGAAGTGGGAGGTTGTGTTTGATATCGAGCCCTTTCTGAATGGCCGTGAACGTGAGGAAAAGGTTCACGAGGAGCTGTGGAACGAGACCTTCCACCACCTGGCCGGCCGCTCCATCATCAACGACTTTGAGCACATGGCCGATAAGGAGTGTGAGATTGAACACGGTGAGCTCTATGGGGATTCCAGTGTTTAGAAGGAGACGGGGGTAAATTTTAAGAATAAAAGACTTTGCAGCAGTAGGCCTCCTGCTAATTCAGATTTGATATTTGGCTGTCTGTCGTCTGGTTTTGGCATTTTAGATATAAAACTTTTCACGAATAGTTTGCCATTTTGGCTTTCTCACTTTCTCACCAAAAGCTTTTAGAGAGGACTAACATCACTGTCGTGTCTATCCATTAGATACAGTGTTAGGTGGTATGAGGTCCTTTAGAGATCCTGTTATGGGATTTTTTTTCCCTTTGCATGGAGCCAAGTGAGCTGTTTCTTCCTCTTTCCAAAGCAGTGTAAATTTTCTGATTTACTTCCTTACCCGAAAGTAAATAAGTATATGTCATTTATAATTTACTAATGTTTGGAATGATTTTATTTGATGTTATATAGTATTATATATAATGCTCATTGTGTTTCACAGGGTCTGGCAGGAAGTACCAGTTATACGGTATTCACACCAGCAAAGCCTGCAATATACTGAGCAAATACACAGCGTTTGTTCCCATTGACCTGGACACAAATGAGTATTTGCAGACATGTATTGAATACTTAAACCCTGGTAAGTAACACAAATTAGGTGTGACAAGGTTCCCTTAAAAATGTTCAATCAGCTGCTTATTTTTTTAAAAGACTGCTGCTGTGCCTGACACAGCAATCTAAAGTGTGATATTTTTTAGAAATGCCTTTTCTTTTCTTTTGCAGAGCATTTAGAAGAAAATATCAATGTCATTCTAACATCTCGCTGTCAAATATGAAGCATGAGATGAAAAAAAGGAAACTTCCTATGGCATTTATAGTCATTTTTTCTAAAACATCAGTCTGAAAGAGTATCTAGCCTTGATATGGGTATTTCAGGCACAGCTCATTGACATAGCCGCATTAACATCACACACTGGTTTCAGTATCCACATTTTGAGGATTAAGCATTAGTATTTTGGCTACTATCATATTTCTTTTGGAGCCAGACGCCTGTACAATCCACAGAGACCAAAAACATTTTGTGTACCAAGCTGTAAATGCTGTAAATATACTCAGAATAACAGTTTAACATGTAAGTCTTGGAGCCAGCTTTAAGTGACACCTGAGGTACTTTAGTTTTTAGCACATCTATGGTGGCTTCATTTTATTTCAGCTCCTGTGGTTGCCCCTTGTTTGAACCTTTCGCTTGTGAAAAGCAGTCAGTCAGAAGAAACCTGTCTTAAAGGAATCTTTGCCTTTTAAAGGAAGACGTGCTAACACGACATGTTTCAGACAGTCAGTGACCTGGAGAGCTGCAGTAAAGCTCACTATTGGGTTAACTGGGATTAACTTGAAGTGTGAATTATGCAAAGCTGCTCCAGGAGAGTCCAGAGCTGGAATTCAGCATGATAGGCTACCAAGAGCCCAGAAGCGATTTGGCAAATAGAGATCATTAACTATAAATTAAAGTAAGTGGCAAGTAGCAGAAACAGACAAACAAACAAGACAAACTTGTGATTTAAAGTGGGTGGATACAAAACAACCAGGTAGCCTCAACCAGTCAACAGATACATTTAGTAAACATAGGATGGCATGTAAAAGGGGCTGCTTGCACAACCAGAGTGACGGAACAGGGAGTGAGTAAATTTGTACATTTGTGGCAAAAGATTTTGTGGGCAGCAATCTACTAAAATTATTCAAATAATAAAAACAATCACTACTTCCTCCAGTTGAACATGGTAAATTTTACTCTTATTAAACAAAACCACCGTGAGTGAGTGGGGCAATGTACACCATATTATTTTAAACTTCTTACCTAATTATATATACTTTTTTTCTTAAAATATCTGCATGCATCTATTATACTGATACTGGTTCCTTTCCTTTTTCTGTAAAATGCACTAATGTAATTTGTAATTTACTATTTTCATTCATGTTTATGCAGAAAGGGATCATTTATACTCTATAAATACAGGATAGAAACCCCCAAGACTTCTGCAACAATGGATTTTGTTAGCCATGACTGACTGCAAGACATCGCAATGTAATAATTCAAAGTTGAAAATTACAGTAAAATCAAAGCCTATAATGTTGAAAAACATATTGTTGCCACACCACATTACCAGCATGTCCAAAAAACCTCCCCAAAATCTGTGAAGCAGGTTTAAAAAAATAATGGTAGAGAACATTTTCATGATTAAATTTCATGTCTAGAGTTTAAGTCCCTCTTCTGGTTACTTAAAGGTTAAAATGTGTCTATGCAGCTTAAATTATCCCATGTTTATAATAAAGTGCAAATTTCTTTCTGTCTGAATTACACATCAGATGCCCACAGTAGGCTTAAAAAATGTCTCACGATCAAAAATTTGTTTTCAGGTGATGGTCTGAAGAGGAACTCACACTCCAGCTCTCGCTCAGGGAGCAGGAAGAACAGAGGTTACTCCATCGGGCTTGGCCGCTCTCAGTCTGGCGGCATGTCGGAGGAAGTCGAAGATGTCCTGCTGCACAACAGTAGGCTGCATTTTTTATTCTTGGCTCACATTTCAGTCCTAGGGAAGGCGCTTTCATTTCTGGATCAATAGCCAGCTAGAGATAAAGTAGAAAGAAATGAGACATGAAGAGGTCTTTTATTCTGATGCAAGCATGGAGTATATGATCAAAGGAAGCAGTTACAGGAGCATTATTCAATGAGGAAAGAATAAGAATCATATTTATTAACTGAAATCTTGGTTTATTCAACAAGGGAAAGGTTTCGATCTTGCTTCACCAGCTCTGGGAGCTGTGAGATGTTGAGCTCGAAAAGCCGAGTGCTACTTTACATTAAAAATAATCCAGCTTCAGCAAAGGGTCACAACATTTTAAACTGATTTTTCAGTGGTGGCATAGCAACAGCAGGAGCTAAGACGAGCACGCCACTCGAACATCTGCTAGGCACTGCCGGTTAAAAAAAGAACGTGCACAGATACAGATGAGTTGCATCAGCATTATTAGACAGATACCACCCTTTTTCCACAAAAGAATGACCTCTTAGGTTTAGAATGATAAGAAATAAAACTGAGCACAGCTGACAGTTAAAATCCTTTTCATCATCGTCTCAGGTGGAGAAGACGGCATCTCTCCGTGCAGCACCCCCTCCTCCGCCGGCTGGGAGAAGTGTAGCTTTGCGGAGGGTAAGTGTTACACATCAAACGGTCAGTGAGTTTGCTGTGCCCCCTCAATTTTCCCTCCACGAAGACCTTTGACATGCACTGTCTGGCACTTTGTTGTCGTTTTCTCTGCGGCGCGGCCGCACTGGTCCAAATGAGAAACATGAGATTATTGACATTTTTAGTCCCTGTGCTTGTCAGTGACGACAGAAGTCGACAGAATTTGGTGGCTTGTATTGACAAATGCCGTCTGGATCTTATTTGGAAAAAAATAAAGAAACAAACAAGAAGAGTTTCACCTGGAGAGGAGAGGCAGCTATGTCTTCTGTCACTTATATATCAGTGGGTGTTTTTCAGGCATTTATTATTTCACACTTAGGAGGGAAAACTAAATAAGGTGAAAAAAATGCACTCCCTCACTTCTCTCTTTTCCCTTGGCTAACTCTGCCTCTCTTTGTGTCTTGCTGTCTCCAAGTCTCCCAGAGGAGTCCCTCTGTGACCTCCGACCAATCACAGAAATCGGTGGAAAGCCTTTTTTCTGCCAGGTGGGTGATTGGAGGCTTGCTGGCTGAATTAATGTGCTGAGGCTGTGCTACCACTACATTAGGAACTAAATGGGTATTACAATTCGACTACTTCACAGGGCAGAAAATATTCTTAACATCATCTTTATCCATTCCTGTCAGCTGATTTTGGCTTTTAGCGTAAGATGTATTGAGGTTAATGTATCAGTTGAATGCAGGGTATCATTAGCTGTGACCCTGAACTGAGTTACAATTTCTTCTCCTCAACACAAAGAGTCCACAGCCATGCTTGCAGCTCTGCCAGGATGTGTTTAGAGCTGAGACACCTAGGTTATACAATGTGCTGATGCCTGCGCAGAGTGAAACACTGTTCAAATGAATGAAAGAAAGAGGCCAGATGGCATAACTGTAAAAAATATACAATATTTTCAGCTGGTCTCTAATGGAAAATCTCCATAGCACTGGATGAAAACTGACTGATTGAAATAGCTGAGTGAAGTCTGACTTTTGCTCACCTCATCACAAGTGGCCAATCATGTTAGTTAGAAAGATTTTTAAGAAAAATGTGTTTGGCTGGAGGAGGAAAGATTTGGAGGTTTGCTAAAGGTGTTACTTCTGGGAGAGTATACCACTCTTGCAGCTAGAACATATGTGCTGGCTGATGTGTAGAAAGTATTCTCTGAATCAACTCAAATTGTGACCTGATTTTGGTGTTAAATAACAGGTTAAAAGAGAAAGTTACTTAGATACAACCATACTTAATGGACAATGGAGATTTGTTAAAACGAGCAGTCAAGTTCAACATCTAAATATAACAGATTTAGCCATACGGGCAAATTTTTGTCTGCAGTCGCTTGCAGGTTAACATTATTCATTACTAGTGAAGAAAAACCAAAAGTACAAAAGGATCTGTGCGCCGATAAGAGACAAAATCATGTAAATGTTGAGACATTTTGCAAAGAAAATAATTTGAGATTATGTATATAAGTCAGATAAAGCCACTGCTACATCACTCACAGAATCTAAGCTGAGCATGTTGGTCTCACCCATATTACCGTAGTTAGATCAAATGTTGAAGCTGATGGGTGAACATGATATACTGCATTCTCAAATGAAATAACTCTGAAATCATAAGGTAGCCATGCCCTAAGGCATACCCTGCATTTTTGTCTCTTTTTTGACCTCACATGGGTACAGTGGGTTATATGTGTTTTATAAAATACAATATAAATGTTATACAGTTTGTTACATAAATATTTGGACATTTTGGGTAATCTTGCATCTCTACATCCCCACAGTGGAAATTTAATGAAGAAGTGCTTGAACTTTAAGCTTATTTCAAGGGTTTAACAAAAGTATTGCATGAACGATTTACAAATTACAGTCACATAGACTCAAAAGTAACTGGACAAACTAATATAATTTTAAATATAAGGATTGTTTGTAATACTTGAATGAAAATAATTTGCAATCAATAGACTGCATAAAGTCTAAGACCATGAAAATGGGTCTCTTTGCCTTTGGTTTTGTATTTAATAACTAATAGTTTAATAAGAGGTGGTGTCTTTGAGTGCAAACAGGTGGATATACAATTTCTCTGCTTAGAGAAGCTCCTTGATTGCTTTTGCAGTAGGTTTTGGGTCACTTTCCACTTGCACTGTGAAGCGCTGTCTGATCACTTATGCAGCATTAGGCTAAATTGGAACAAGGTATATTGCTGTGCTATTTTTTCCAAGTATTAAAACCTTAAATGATGTTAGTTTGCCTAATTATTTTTGAGCCTTTATGCATCACAAATGTAATTTGTAAATAGTGGTTTACAAAACCTTTGTAAAACCCAAAGGTGAGAGTGTGCAACGTTTGATTTCAAATCCACAATGATGAAGTACAGAGAGAAAATTAGAAATTACAGAAACACTTTCACCAAGACTTTAAACTAGTGATTGAGACCATAAACTCACGAGGACAGTGTTTACAGAGCTCGTAAAAAAGTGAGCCGTGTTGTTATTTTCTCATAGATTTCTATACAGTTGTACTACTTCAGGAGTTGCCCCCTAATGGTCATTTAAAGGAATGCAGATATAAGGCAATTCTTCACTGATTTGACTTTTTATACCTTGAGGGTAGTTCCCCTTAAAATGTATGTGGTCTGTGCAGTTTCATATCAATCCAATAAACAGTCATTGGAGATATTTCTGCATAGACGAAGACATTTTCCATCCCTAGAAATGGAGATGCCCAGAGGCTAAAAAAACCTCATTACCTGTAAAAAAAATAATTTCCCATTTTTTATTGGGTTATAAAACATGTAAACTTTTACATAAAAGAAAAGAAAGAAGTTGTTGCCATTCTTTTCCTTCACAATCAGTGGATTACACCTAATGGTGGTTTGTGTTTCACATACTTTACACTGTAATTTACTTCTGCACCCCCCTCTCCTCTTTAAGGCTGGCCCTCAGCAGGACTCGTCTGCTAACTCGAGCTGCCAAAGGATTCATGTGTCGATCTCACAGCAAGTCTGGTGATTCAATTGGAGAGAGCGACAACGAGAACAAAGACTACATTCCTCTGGTGGGCTGCAGATCTTTACATGTGAATGTTTTTTTAACGTACACTAACTCGAGCTGACAGAGACTGTGAATCTGTCAGAGGCTGTTTAGACAGAGCGAACAATGAGTTCGCTCGTTTATGCTGCTTTGAAGAGCCCTGAGGCGTAAGGTGCACAGCATGTAAGCATGCTGTATTGTAGATTTAAATGTAGCGTGTCTGTAGTCTGACATTATATACACTCAGAATAAAAGAGACTTAAATGAAATTTCTTTCTGTGTTGCAAAAGAAATGGGTATGATTGATGGATTAATAGGGTGCTTATAATATGAGCATTTAATATTATAAGACCATGACCCTCGCTTCCACTAACCAAGAACTTAAAGGGAGCTCTAATTGTTCAGCACATGGCACATTGTCCGTATATTGTTTGGCACTTCCCAGATTCAGTGGAATAAAGTATGTGTCAGAAATGAATAGCTGTAGAATAAAAGATATGTAGAATAGCTGCCCATGAAATGATTTCCTCTTCTTGTAACAGCGAGGAATCCTTGGTCAGAGCACCTCACAACAAGCTGTTGATTGGAGCAGAAAAACCCACATTGCAGAAGAACATCATGAATATGAATCAGCTGTGGACTTGCTCCCTTAGTCCTTATTTTCTATTGATACGCATAAAGACAAACACACAGTCTGCCAACTGAAACTGATTTTAGATGCTCTCCAAATACATGCTGCCCTCTGCTTCACTGCTGAATGATTAAAGACTGCAGTAACTAAACAAATTAAATAATTTTCTAATAACTTCTTCTTCTGTACAGGTGTTGTTGCAGTTGGCTTGTGGTGCATTTCCCCTGGACGCAGCTCTGTGCGATGCCATTAGTGTGCCCATGGACAAGCTAAAGTGGACGTCCCCCTTCACCAGTCACCGCACCAGCCTGGGCCACTTGTCTCACTCCAGCAGCCGCCGCGCTGAGAGTGCTGATGATGGATGCAGATCACCGTTTGAGCAAGAAACATATCAGCAGCCTGCAGATCACACCGCAGGCATTCACAGCCTGTCTCATCTGTCCAGGAGCACCTGGACGGATGCTGGTCCCTCCTCGTTAGCCAGCCCATCTGCCGCTGCCAATCCCCCGCTCTCCACACTCTCCCGGGTGGATAGTGCACAGAGCTCTGGGTCAGGGGGCTTGGAAACACCATCGCCTGTAGAAAGCATGGTGTGGGCTACAGCGGTGGCCCTTGCCTGGCTGGAGCATAGCTCTGCCAACTATTTTATAGAATGGGAACTGGTAGCCGCCAAGGCCAGCATGTGGCTGAGTGAGCAGGACATCCCAGAGGGCCGAGATTTAGCATCAGTGAAAGCTGCTGCCAATCAGCTCTTCATCATCCTCAGACACTGGGATGAAAACCTGCAACTGAACATGCTCTGTTACAACCCTAACAGCGTCTGAGGCCTGTCAGTCCAAGACTGCAAGTACTCAAACCCTAACGATACTATGCTAACTGAGGCCATGCTATTCTCTGATCAGCAGTTTGTCCTCTGGAGTCTGATTTTGCATTGCAGTTGTGAACAATGTGTGTTTTCTTCTGTTTGTGTGCTGTTCCTCCAAACATATCACAGGCTCTTCAGAGGAACTACAGTGTGTGCAAGCTGTTACCTCGCTGGTGCCATATGCTGTATCTGGATCACTATTAGCAATGGAGCTATCCGAGTTATGCCACTGATTTGAGTTTGAAAGAGAAGAATGCCAGTGTTAAATTTGTAGCATGCCATCAACCATCATCATCTGAGAAAAGCTATTACTGTCATCACATTGATGTAACAAGGAGAATGCTGCAAAACTATGGTAAGATCAACTGTTCCACTAATTAGTACACGCCATTTTTACAACAGTACAACCTTTTCTGAATTGTTTGGATTGTGCTGAGGGGAAACAAATGTTGAAAATAATAATCTGGTTACTTGCCCTCAGTACTGGCACTCTTTTCTAATGCTCAGTGCCATTACATTGTTAGTACTATTTGCCATTTTTGCAGTTTAATTGTAGCAGAGAAAGAAAAATATGCAAAAAGCTAGAGAAAATATGACATAGGTTAACAATTTGTTTGAAAAAAAAAAAGTGGTATATGTGGGGAAATGTGTGTATCTCTCTAGCATGTGATTTACTGTCTATATTTCATACAGCTTTTATTTTCCCGTACCTGATTATAACTGTTTTAGAGTATAAGATTTATTATTTCTTTTACTTTTACTTAAAAACAAAAACACAGATGTGGAGCTGGATGCACCAGCGGTTTGCAGGTTCAGAATTATCCTCATAAGCTGAAGGTTTGCTAAGTAATAAGGAAATTTACACTAATTTAACTCTAATGCACACAGAGATTTTCCCTGTAATTTACCAGGTTTAACTGCTGTAAGCTGACATAAGCATTGTTATTAATCTGTTAGAATAAAAAAGTGATTACGCTTTAAGAGGTTTTTCTAAATGAAGCTTCTCAAAAAATAGCACGAAACCTACAGAAATAATTAGGCTTTTAGCACCAAGGACCACACTTGACTTAAAATATATCAAAAGCATTATATAGACAAAAGCATTGGGCCATGCCTCTTAAACTTTGAATTCAGGTGCCTTTTAAAATGGCTCATTCTAAAGAACCCACTGAATTCAAGCATGGTACTGTAACAGGATGTCATATCTGCAATAAGTCAGTTTGTGAAATTTCTTCCCTTCTTGCTGATTCCGAATCAGCTGTAAGTGGTATTATTGCAAAGTGGATGTGATTAAGAGCCACAGCAGCTCACACAAAGTGGCAGACCATGTAAAGATGCAGAGTGGGATGGCTGAGTGCTGAAGTGCATAGTGCATAAAGTGGCAAACACGGTGCTGACTTAATACCTGTAGAGATCCAAACCTCCACTGGCATCAGCACAAACCCTGTGTGCTGAGAGCTTCAAGGCATGGATTCAATGACCAAGGAGCTCCTGTAGGAGGGGATTTGTATTTCTGCATTAATAAATCAGTGCTGTACATGCATCATAACTGCGAGCTGTTCTGTAAACCTACGCTGTAACCTTTGCCATAACCTGACATGCTGCTCCCTGGAAATGTAACTACACGCCCCGTTGATGTAGCTCTCCCCTGTTGTAATTGGTCCGTTCAGGGAATCCTCCCCTGAGTTTCTGGCGACCTTTTTGCTGTGGTTTTTGAATGAATCAGTGGAGCCATGTGCATACAACCACGAATGTGGACGTTGGGCTCTACAAGGATTCACTGCAAAAGTCTAAATCAGTCTAAATCAGCCGTAATGTGTAGTTGGCCCAGTTATTTTGTCCATGTTGTGTTTTTATGCACTACATAAAGATGTAGGAAATACAATAGTAATTGCTAGTAGTATGGTATAACAGGCAATAAAGGAAGCTAAAAGTTATTCTGTGATACTGGCTGGAGCACACCTGTCTTTAAACATAGCCGTCATCTTTATCTCAGTGTTATAGCTCTTAATTTTCATTATTGGGTCTTGCACAGTTGCAAACTGAAAAACTCGGACCATAAAAAGAGAGACAGACAGATAGAAACTGCCAAATTACTAGAAATTAGTTGCACATCCTGCTGACATCATAATCACATATAAACATATCTATATATATGCACAATTAAATTCAATACTTTTCTTTCCCCAGAAAGAGCTTTACTTTATAAGTTATGTTATTTGAATACAGATTTTTTATTTCAAAGAACAACTCACATTTGAAAACACTGTTTTAATATGAAATCACTTCACACTTTACACTTCAAATCCTGTCTCCCCCCCACCCTGGACCCCCACCAATTCGCATACCGCCAGAACAGGAGCACAGAGGATGCAGTCTCCATCGCAATGCACTCTGTCCTCTCACACCTGGACAACAACAACACCTACGCCAGAATGCTGTTTATAGACTTCAGTTCAGCATTCAATACAATCCACCCCTCACAACTCATCAGGAAACTGACAGACCTGGGCATCAGTTCCCTCATCTGCAAATGGTTACTGGACTTCCTGACCAACCGCCCCCAACATGTCCGGCTGGATAACCACTGCTCATCTACCATCACAATGAACACCGGTGTACCACAAGGCTGTGTGATGAGCCCTTTCCTCTACTCCCTCTTCACCCACGACTGCAGACCTGCTGATGGTTCCAACACCATCATTAAGTTTGCAGATGACACCACGGTGATTGGCCTCATCAGTGACAACGATGAGGCCGCCTACAGGGAGGAGGTGGATCGTCTGGCTGAGTGGTGCGACAGAAACAACCTGCTGCTTAACACCGAGAAGACCAAGGAGCTCATCGTGGACTACAGGAGGAATGCTGACCCACATCCACCCATCCACATTAAGGGGACGGCTGTGGAGCGTGTGAGCAGCTTCAAGTTCCTGGGAGTCCACATCTCCGAGGATCTCACCTGGACGACCAACTGCTCCAAGCTGGTCAAGAAGGCTCACCAGCGCCTCTTCTTCTTGAGGACTCTGAGGAAGAACCACCTGTCCTCAGACATCCTGGTGAACTTCTATCGCTGCACCATCGAGAGCATCCTGACCAACTGTATAACAGTCTGGTACGGGAACTGCTCTGCCTCGGACCGGAAGGCGTTGCAGAGGGTCGTGAAAACTGCCCAGCGCATCGCCGGAGCACCACTTCCTGCCATAAAAGACATCTACAGGAAGCGGTGTCTGAAAAGGGCTGGGAAAATCATCAAAGACCCCAGTCACCCATCACATGGACTCTTCACCCTCCTGCCCTCTGGGAGGCGCTACAGGAGCCTCCGGACTAAGACCACCAGGTACCGGAACAGCTTCTTCCCCACAGCTGTCAGACTCCTGAACTCTGCCTCCTGACATCTGACCCACGTTAAACTCATGGACTGAACATACACACACCCACAATGGACAACTGTACCCTCAAACACACAATAATAACATGGACTGAACCACCACTCACAACCACTAGCACTTTATATAGCCTCTGTAGAAACTATCTACACCCTCACTTATCTTAACTGCACTACTGTATAGCTCTGTGTAAATAATCATTCTGTACATTCGATAATCTTTAATCCTACAACTGTTTACAACTTGCATAGTTCCCATTTCTGTATAGCTGTATATCTCAGATTCTGTAAAGTTATTTATTTCATATTCTGTATAGTTTTTCATATTTATATCCTGTTCATATCCTGTACATAGCTTGTACTCACTACAGCCTGTACATACTTATAGTTATAGAATATTCACAACATACTTCATACCGTGTACATTATAACATACCATAATAGACCCATTTCTGTAATATACTCACATATCTATATTATTGCTAATATATATTGTAATATATCTATATCACTAAAGCACTTCTGGATGGATGCAAACTGCATTTCGTTGCCCTGTACCTGTGCATGTGCAATGACAATAAAGTTGAATTCTATTCTATTCTATTCTATTCTATTCTATTCTATTCTATTCTAAATCACTCCCAAAACTATAATACAAATTCTGGAGAGATCCCACTGTGGACTACAGGTGGATGCTGGGGTGTTGTAGAGTTGAAACCAGTAGACATCAATGCAGGGTTAGATGGTAAGTTCTGCATCTTAAATGGGCTGCCAATTTGGGAGTATGTGTTTGGTATATGATGGGAGAGCGAGGCATGTTATGTGTGCACGATGCAATCCTAAATGAGTTTTCAGGATTTAGTTGACTTAAATATTTTTTTATTGGAAACTATTTATTTGCACATTATAAAGCAAAATCAAAAACGGTTAAACCCACTTGTAATGATCTATAATTTAATTATCACTTATGTTGGACCTTGGATTTGCAAACAGCTGGTGCTGCCTACTCCCCAATAATATGTACAGCGACCAAAAGTCCTGCTCCTGAAATCAAAGATGAATGGCCCCTGTTAATTATCACTGTCAAAGCTTCTTTACCTCAAGTGCCTAAACAAGGTTTAAATCAGCTGAAAATGTAAAACCTGTTCATTGCAGTAACAATTGGTTCATTTAAAAAAATATACACAGTCGATACCCTTCTTTCTGCCTTTTTTATTCTTCCTTTTCAGTCCATTTGAGCATGTTTCAGTATTAATTTTCTATTTTTTCCCCCTCGTTGCAGTGTTGCTTTACTCAGGTATTCCTTTTTCCACTCAGGCTGAGTTGCATACGTCCGTCTGCATGAGCACAGGTGTTTATGTTATGGTGTTTGATGATTCAATTGCCACATTGGAGGCAGTAGTGCAGTATTTCCCTCTCTGAACTGAGAAATACAATGTAGATGTCATATAGTAATATTTTTGTCCTGTAATTGCAGTATTTAGTGCAGCTGTAATTGAAATAAGTATTTTTTATGTACCAAGTCAGGTGTATGGTGCAGTATCTTTCAACTTGCTGTTCGTGCCTTTATAAATGATTGTTAACTGTTTGAGGCTGCTGAAAGCTTTTGCTGTGTCTTTATAATTGTGAATGCTCTGACCAGCTCTGAAGGTGCATGTAATAAAGTAAGTCTACAACCAAAGAGCTGGGGCTCAAGTCATTATTGTTCCTCTGTTACCATGAAGGCAGACCTCATGGACTAATACTGTGACCCTTGTCTTTTTAAGGATCTCCTGCTATGCTGATAATTCCAGGTTTACCCATCGGTTTGTCTCACTAATCTTCCTCCAAAAATGAAGGAAGCACAAATGTCAATTACCAGTGGAGATGTCCATTTTGCATATACTTTATGGTGACTGGACAGTAAGTGCTGTGGGGCAAACAAACATGAACAATTTTTATGTTGATATATTGGCCAGTAATGGCTTTAGAGAAATGTCATCAAATCAAATCATATCATGTAAGCACACCACAGAGAGGACTCGATGAGCTGAGGGAAGCCACTGATTTCCTGGGCTTCCTACCTGCAGGAAATTCTATATTAATAGACATACGATTATTGCCAATAGTATAAAAATGTAACCTGTAGTCAAGTACCACAATAAAGCTCTACAGAACATCTTCAGTCACATTGGTCTCACAGCCCTGTCTGACTGTGGCCTGCTGTTTATTTCAGTACATCAGAAAATTACTTGAAAACATGACACCACGGTGGCCAGAAATGGAGAGATTTTATTAGCGAAAAAGGATACGTGTTGCACAATGTGAAGAATTAAACTGGGAAAAAAGTAACTCTGTATGTACCTCTAAACCTATCAGTATATTGATCACCCAGCCACAAGTAAGAGCCCCACAGAGGTGCTCTTCAAAAGGAAAATCAGAAGGAAGCTCCCAGAAATATTACCGTCACAAAAAGATTTGGAGACAAGACACAAAAATCCTTAAAAAAAAAAAAAATCAATGGTCTACACAGGCAACAACACAGGGCAAAAATACCACCTACGACCCTACAACTAAAACACAAGGTTTTACACCTTATACATATGACCAGGATGCTACACCTGATTAGATTTTGTGAATGGAAACAAACCTAGAAGCTAGAAACCTTTCTGGTCATGCACTATTAGAGGTCACTTATTTAGAATGATGGTCCATGATGGTACTTTTATGTGTTCATCAGTTTTGACAACGTCTCCAACACCACTGGATGAAATGCATGATGGATGGATCAACAGAAAGACCAGATGCATTTCTCAGGTCCCGTGTCAGGTCTTTGCTGTATTTCCACCTGATAGCTCTCTTGTTGCAAACATCCTATTTGATGCCTGTCAAAATGTGTTCTTTTTGACACTTTTTTGTATATTCAGCTAAAGAAATTTGGACAAATTATGTGCAGGCTGCTAGTAACAAAGATACAATTTATTTAATTGGTTGTTTGCTAAGTTGCTTGTTATGTGTAGAAACAATGCTGCTTCATCCCTTCAAATTACAAAAAAGGCTTTTTATGCACACTTGACATGAAAAAAAATGAGAACGTTTGGAGAAAGGGAGCAAAGTTGTTGGACTTCATGGTAAGTTTGGACAACATGCTTCTATAACTTGGTTCTAGCTGATAGTTGCACTCATCCTGCTGGTTGCTAGGGGCTAACGTTTGTATGAGTAATGATACATTCACAGCAACTGGAAAATGAAATTTTGCTCTTGCTTTGACTATTAATGCACTCTGTAAACTTAAGTTTGGAGAGCAGTCTATTAAAAACTCTTTGGGCTTCACAACATTTTCCCATCACTGAACTGAAGTCAAGGTGACCTGAGCTACACTGGTTGTATTCCTTCCCCCGAGTGACACGGTACAAGTCTCATTAACAACAAAAAGCAGCCATAATGTGGGTCCTTGAAATCAAAGAGGGTGACAGTAATTAGGATGACAAGGCACCATTTACACCATCCACACTATTAAACGGTAAAACAAGCCTGGCGTGAGAGGCAGAGGGCGCATGAACGAGAAATGGGGAAAGAGAGGGCCAGCGAACGGAGCACCGGGTAAGAAAAATGAAAGCTCATTACTGCTGCGCTAATAACCGTCTTCACCCCTGTTTGAGAGATCAAACAAGACTCAAAGAGTTCCTGACATTGTGGAGTGCTTTGAAGAGCATGCACACAAAAACCCGTATTTAGATCACGATATTTTCTCAGGTGTGTTGTGATATTACGCAGCACGCCTTGATTCCAACAACAGACACGCACACACATTAAAATCACCTTAGAAAAGTTTGGACTGTGTCCTGTTGCTAAGCTACTGACTAGAATGCATGTGAAAATGTGTTGTTTGAACTAATCTTCTGTTATTTCATCCTATATATAGATTAGAATGTAGCATGACATGATCAGTGAGAACAGTGGTGGGTTTTACAAACATAACGCTGATG